CCTTTACACAGTCCGATCGTATGCTACTTTTCGACTCGTTCAAACCTATTATTGACCCACTTCTAGATGTTAACCTGCACGTAATGTTGATGACTTCAACCATACTAGCACTTATCCACTTTTATCATTGGATATGACAGATCTCTGTCACTCTCCCCCAAGAGGTAACTCTATAATGGACAGAGTAATTAGCAAACAACCAACCCTTTTTTCTTAAGCAATAAAAGCTCCTATTTCTTCTAGTGACCATTGCTTACTCTTGGTTCGACCTAAAGTTTATTCACACAGTGCATAAAGTCTTTCTCCCGATCTGAGCACATCAGATTTCGTTTTCATAACTTCTCACCTGCACGTGTTTCTCTCCTGAATGAATCGCTCAAACAGGCCTCCCGATGGTTTTCATCATCTTCTTCTCTGCTCACATGTGTCCCACTATACACCCAAACAATCAATGCCATTTATAATTACTGCCGTCCTGTTCAAAGTCTCTATGTGCCCAACGGTGGGATAAACTTCGCCCTACTAAATTCGTTGCGACGACAAAAAGAACGTGCTTATAAATCTCACAATGCTTCAACTGTTAGGTATTTCTCCTGGTTTATCCAAGCTGAACTAAATAGATTCAACACATTATTATCTGATCGAATTCTGAGGACTAGAAACAGCAAACACCTGTAGCAAGATATGACTTCTCTGTCGAAGGAAGAATGTACAGTCGAAGCTGGATGTGGATGCTGATGATCTCAATGCCGCATTCCTGCGCCAGTCATCGGACATCCTTCTTGTCTAATCGTCACAAAATATTGGAACGTGGAACCACTCTCATATTGTGATTTATTAAAACTTTTAAATAGTTGCAAATCGTCTTCTGCTGCAGGCCCGGACGAACTACATCCAGCCCTCTTCAAATTTGGTGCTGCTTCCCTAGCTGTGGCAATTACCTCCATCGTAAATTAATCTCTTCACATTTCTACTATCCCCAACTGTTGGAGGTCGGTCACAATCATACCAGTTCCCAAGGCATGCAAATCTTCTATCCTCTCCAAATGTTTTCCTCCCATAGCATCAACATCTTCAGCTCTTAAATTGACTGAAAAGGCCATCCTCAAACGCCTTCAGCAGTCTATAAACATTCCCAATGATTCGTTACAGTTTGCTCACAAGCCTAACAGATCAACCGTGGATGCAGTCTCCACCCTCATTTATTTCATCACTAAATCTTTGAACAGCTCTGTT